ATTTGTAGCATGGGGGGTATTTGTGGACGTGATCTACAAGTCATACTAGTTGCTTCCCCTTCTGACAAGAAAACCAAATCCATCGTAACAGGTTCGTAGATCGGCTGATCTAAGTCCATCATCACTTTTAAAATGGTCATATTTCTCGTTTCTCAAAAGACACGTTTGTAATTTCCGGTTCCGTAATATTGTAGACCGTCTTAGTAAGATGGGTCAACTTGCTGCTGTCAACGATGGTGTAATCGGTGGGAATACAGAGAGGCTATTCCTAGACAAAGTATTGCACATGCCTGTCGGTAATATATTTTATTGGATATCGAACCGCACTACAACGAAGTTTGGCAAATAAATGCTTGGCATTAGGTTGGATATGTGAGCTGCAGGCCACTTGCAAACAGATTGCCGAGCGAAATGCGTGAATCGCGTAATAGATGTACCCTCGTAAGAAATTCCGCGGAGAAACCACGGTTCTGAAGCGAGTCGATTCCGCTTATCGAGATTGCGTTTGAAAATACGGTGCATGCCACTATACGCTTTCGAAAAATGGTTTGGTGAACCTTCGGGCGATTTGACATTGCCAAAAAGAGGCCCGGTATTAACACGGAAAGAGCCATTGATCCAACTCGACCAGATGATATCAGCCCATCTACAATTCGGATTAAGTCTCAAATTTATTCAGTAAGACTGATCGTAATGGGTCAGATGCGCGATGCTATGGACTCAATCCAGGACGTCACGAATAAATATTTCAATTGAAGAGGTAGACAAATCACATACAAATATGTAGTGGGCAAAACGTCTATTGAATATTATTTTACTGAAATTGAGATTTCTTCTGTAAGTTACGACCGCGCTACATAGGACCGTTTACTATATACCGAAGACTGCGAGCAGACCCAGTTCTACTAAGTCGTACCACAATATTGCTCTTGCTAGGCAGCCAGATGCGAGGCATTCTATCGTAGACATCGCATCATCTCTAACGTTCCTTGTAGCTAAGCCACCCTCTACTCCAAGCAGAGACGTGAATCTGAGCCGTTGGGGTCCCTTAAGACACACAGCGCGGTGGCGAGGCTCTTAAAGCTCATTTAAGATCCAGTTCATCTCAATTTGAGCCCTCGCCGAGACGTCGGAGAGAGCCGATATGCCGTAACATTAGGATTGCTCAAAAGATCTAGCAGATGGCGGGTCGAATACCGCTGACACGGCTCGATGAGCAAGGTATTACGTGGAACGTTCGGGCCGGCGGGTACACTGGGGCTGTTATAAGTCTCAAGTGAAGTGGATGGAATATCCTCGACAGCAAACGCATGGTTGGTTGAGGTTTAACTTTGACTAGAACACCTTGGCAATGTTGCCACTTAAAACCTGGGTGCCCCATTGTTCTTTATGTGTATTGGAATGAGATGGAGTCGCTCGTTGCAGCGCTGTTCTCACTTGTGAGAGTCGACTGACCTTGCGGTGAATAAAGCCATGCTCGGTAGCTGTAAAAGCTGTCTCGCAAAGACGAGTGGAACTTTGAACAGCAGAAATTACAGACTGTCACGTTGATGTCTGCACCAATCTTTGAATTCTGAAAAGGCGTGCACAAGTCAACGCTCTTGAGGCGTTCGCTCGATGAAGCTGGCGCATTAAACCCCAAGACGGGCGAGCCTGCTTGCATTCTCAGTCAGTGCACGACTCAAATCTGATACTCAGCCTCACTTCCACCAGCTTACAAGACCCAAAGAACATCCCGGAAGGTTCGTGCTTCACGGACCACTGCTACACTAAGCGCAGGCGAAACTATAAGAGATAACTACTTGCTTGTAAGAAAGCGCTGAGGAGAGACGTTTTGCTCAGATCCAGCCGGGCGAGTGACTTCGGACAATTTTTGACCGAATTCACGGTGTGTTTTAGGCAAAAGCTAGGTGATGCTTGCGCTTACACTCAAGCAAGCTGGATTCTTCGAGCCACGAGAAGTGGAAAAGCTTGCCTACAATGGATGGAGCCACGAAGTCCGAGACATGTGAGGCACTGAGGTTGAGCGCGGTAAGTGCCTTCAGGAGATCGGCTGCGTCGTTTATCTATACCCCATTCTGACCCGGCGTAGCCGCACGGAGACGACGCTCACTGCGCTCAGTGTCCCTGTTGGACCAATCTGGGCTCCGTGCCCGTTCCATTGGCGAGAATGTTTTGTCCCCGCGTAGTAGAACTAACGCGGATTATTGGCTAGAACCACACCATAAAATTTTCCCAATTCGCGCCGAGATTGTTGTTTGGAATGTCCGATGTTGCTCACCACGCCTGGCTGAATATTATTCACGCTAAGCACATGGGCCTTTACTCATACTAGAGCAAAATGAGCGCGATGAATTGCTACGCGAGTGCTTACTCACACACGGAAAGTTTTCCTTCCAAAGTTCCGCCTTCGCCCCAAGGAGCAGCAGTTAAGGAAACCCTAACCTCCCTAGATATACCTTGATAACTTGAAGCTGGAGAATGTGAGGCTGAGTATCAGACTCATCTCGTGCACTGAATTAGGTAACACGCTGTGTTGTCTGTCTTGATGCTTTACGAGCCAACTGCATTGACATGAACGTTTGTCTGAAGTGTCAATTCGTACGTGCCTTGTCAAAGTACCAGAATCGACACAGGTATCAAGGTGACCCGTCACATCAAATTCCTGCTGTCTACATCTCTGCTCGTCCTCACAAGACAGCTGTTACAGCCTCTGGCCAAAGCTGTATTTACTGCAAGTTCGGTCGTCTCTCACTAGTGAGAATAGCTCTGTGGACAGGTGATACTACCTACTTCAAGGGTGCGCCAGGTTTTAGAATGCAACGTTGCAAAGGGAATCTTGCCGAAGTGAAACGTCAAACTCTTATGGGCTTGCGATCGAGGACATGCCACCCTTTACATTAAAGAATAATACACCCGCCGTCCCAAAACACATTTCACGCAATACCTTGCTCATTGAGCAGTGTTAGCGATGGTCGGACCACCCTCGGCTAGCTCTTGTGAGCAACCCTGATTTTGGCGGCATGTCGACTTTCTCCAAGAGCCTCTGCAAACGTCCAAGACTAAAATCAATCAGATCGTGAAAGAGCAGCCAGGGCTTTGCCATCGCACTACGCGCCTTAAAAGTCCCAGTGGCTCAAATTTACGTTGCTGCTTGGGGTAGAGGGTGGCTTAGCTGTAAGGGTGGTAGAAACGATAGGTTGTCAACAATATACTGGTTCACATCCGACTACCTCGTAAGATGGGGATCGTGGTATGGCTTTAGTAGCAGTCCGTCTGTTCGCATTCTATTTGGTATGTAAACTGGATATAAATCAATTCATTTTTGGTAGGACCGTGATCGATCCTAAGTAGCGCGGTCGCAACCAAGTCTTATGGACCGCAGAAACTACAGGTGAATGTTAGTAAATAACAATCAATAAGCTTTTTGCTCCACTACATATTCGTACAAATTTCGCCCACCTCTGCCTGGTATCATGTTAGTAAAAAATCATTTATACGCACCGCATTTATCAACTCAAACTTGACGAGTGGATCAGCTCGCTGAAGCACCACAGTCACTACGCGCAAGTGCTCGAGTTGATACATCCAAAATACGATTCTTGCGCTGAGTAGTTCTTCTTGACGTCCTGGCTCATAGATTCGCGCATACCACCCACTACGCTCTGTCTTACTGATTAACAGTCGGTGGTTGGATACGAAGTCTACCCAAGCTAAATTTATTTGGTCAAGCTGAATCGATGGATCCTCCCCTATAAACATACCGAAATCTCCTTGTCGTGATGTCAACCGCACCCGAAACTTAGAAAATCATTTATATGCACCGCATTTATCAGCCCAAACTTGACGAGTGGATCAGCTCGCTGAAGCACCACAGTCACTACGCGCAAGTGCTCGAGTTTATACATCCAAAACACGATGCTTGCGCTCAGTTGACCATCTCTTCGATAGTGGTCTGAAGCTCACATATCCAACCTAATGCCAAGAATATTTTGCCAAACTTCGTTGTAGTGCGACACAATATATTACCGACAGGTATGTGCAATACTTTGTCTAGGAACAGCCTCTCTGTATTACCACCGGTCACACCATCGTTGACAGCAGCGAGATGAGCCATCTTGCTAAAACGGTCTACAATATTACGAGATCGGGAATGCCAGACATGTCTTTTGGAAGAACGAGAAATATGACCATTTTAAAAATGATATGGACGTAGATCAGCCGATTTACGAACCTGTTACGATGGATTTGGTTTTCTTGTCAGAAGGGGAAGCATCTAGTATGACTTGTAGATCACGTCCACAAATACCCCCCATGCTACAAAATTAAGATGCGCTTTCGACAACAACTCAGGAGATCAAGATTCCTCATGCCATGCATCTC